GGGCCGAACCGGGGCCGCCTCGGGGCCGTACCCGGGCCGCCCTGGGGCCGCCCCGGGTCCTTGTGAGTCCAAGCAAACACATCGAGGTTATTTCTGAGGAACTCGATCAGTCCTTCCCGACTTTGCTCTCCAAGCTCCGAGCCCACTGGGCCGAACCGGGGCCGCCTCGGGGCCGTACCCGGGCCGCCCTGGGGCCGCCCCGGGTCCTTGTGAGTCCAAGCAAACACATCGAGGTTATTTCTGAGGAACTCGATCAGTCCTTCCCGACTTTGCTCTCCAAGCTCCGAGCCCACTCTCAGCCTTCTGGTAGGCTCTTTCTCATCGATGAGGACCTCGATCAATTCTTTGGCCGGTCTCGTTCATGTCTCTTCGCCTGGGAGCCTTAGATCTAGATTGAACTCCTTGGCCCCTGTCTCCATCATCCTCGTCTCTCTTCTTGCCTGCATTGGCTCGGCATATTGGCGGACCATCTCCGAGTATGTGAGCCTCGACTGATACTGATTTTCTCAAACTTTTCCAACCCCGTTGGGGGTTGGAAACTTCATCATTTGATGGTAGATCGACGTGACCGCCTTCAATGCCCTCAGCGTCGGGCTCCCTATGACCGCGTTATATTGGTCACCTCCCTTCACCACCAAGAATTTTGATATTACAATCGTGGTGTATGATCGGTCACCAATGGTCACGGGCAGTTCTATTGCCCCCTCTAGGATGACGCTATCCCCGGTGAAGCCGTATAGAGGCTATGCACTGTTTTGTAGTCTCGCTCGGGGGATCTCCATCTTGTCGAGGCACTCGGCATATAGGGTGTCTACCGAACTACCATTGTCGACCAAGATGCGGCAAACCGTATGGTTACCGATCATGGCCTCCACGACTAAAGCATCATTTTGGGGGAAGTGCACCCCGTTCACATCGGCTTCCGAGAACGTTATCTCGGCCTCCTCGTATCGTGCAGCCTTTGCTTCTCTACTAGAGACGTTCATGACCCTCCGGGTGAACTTTGCCTTTGCCTCTCTCACGTACTCCTTCTGTACGCGGTGAGAGGTACCGCTGAGGTATGGCCCTCCGAAGATTGTTCTTATAACGCCGACAGTCTCGGGTGGATTGTCATGCCTTTGCTCCTCCCGTCGATCGTTATTTCGCCGATTGTTGTTGCCCCAACGGTCGGCTCGGTACTCATTGAGCCTCCCTTCCCGGATCAACCTCTCGACCTCATCTCTCAGGTCAAAACATTCGGTCGTCATGTGCCCGCTCTCACCGTGAAACCTGTAATACTTGCTCTGGTTTATTCGCGTCGGGTCAGACTTCAGCGATGGTGGTCGACGTAGTACCTAGAGGTGATTGATCTCGTGATAGACATCCTCGATCCCCATGGTTAACGGGGTGAAGGCGTCGTATTTTTGCGGCTTGGGTCGCTTGTTATCCCCATGCCTCGTTGAGGTGTTGCCACCCCTGTTGTTCGGGACTGGATTACACCTCTGCTCGGCTTGCACCTGAGGATTACCTCGGCGCTTCTTGCCATTATTTTGGTTGCTCGCCTGCCCTACTTCTTCCTTGGCAGGGGCCACCACCTTATTTTTCAGGGCCTTTTTAGCCTCTTCAGCGTTGATAAATCCATGTGCCCTCGTTAGGAACTCTTAGTAGGTCTGGGGCGGTCTCCGGTCGAGGTTCGTGCTGTACGGGATGTCCTTCTTCATGCTCGACAGGCCCCCATCAAAGCCACCTCGTCAGAGATCCCCTCGGTGGTGGCCACATGTTCCCCAAACTGGTATATCCAGTCTTTTAGAGACTCGTTAGGTCCCTGGTACACCCTCGAAAGGTTTTGCTTGGGCGGGATGTATTTTTTGACACCTATGAACTGAGTCAGAAAGGCGTTCTTCAAATCATCCCAACTGGTAATGGAGTTCGGTTTTAAGGATCTGAACCATCTCCTGGCGGAATCGAAAAGATGATTCCTGAATGCTCGGCACATGACCTCCTTGGGGTACCCGTGTAGGACCATATGCCCTGTGTAGACCTCCAAGTGGTCGCCCGAATCACTCCTTCTATCATATAGTGGGATGGGGGAGGTTTATACTTATCGGGCAATGGTACCCGAATAATATTTTCTATAAATGGGTGGTCGTGGGATGTATGCATCTTGACGTCGACATTTACCGCCTCGGCTACCTTTCCCATGACTTGTTCGAAGTTGTTTAATCGACGCCCTATTTGCTTTTCCAACCTGGCAAGCTTCTCGGCCAGAGCTTTGTTCTCAGCTGCAAGGCCTTCCTCCTTGGTCTACTATATGTCTCGGTCACGTCGACCGTTCAGCTTTTCCCTAAGGTCTCCTCTACTCACCGATGAAGACTCTACTGGGACAGCGTTCCTCCGGTTCACGTCCTGCTGTGGTCGAGGAGGCATTTCTCTATTATTCATAGTTTGAACCGCAGCCCTTTCCTGGGCTCTCCTCCTGACCGCCCGTTGCCTGCTACCCACAGACCTGTTCGACTTGGCTAGACGAGGGTTATTGGCCCCACTGTCACCGACTACCTCGGCGTCATCGCGTTGGCCACCAACTACATGGTTTCCGACGGCGGCGTTCACCGGGTTCATCAGTGCGTCCTCCAACGGTGGCATCGAGTTTTGCCCCTGGTCCCGTCCAGCGAGGGCTGTAGCCATTCTCTCCACGGCTGCAGCAAGCGTTTCAACCTGCCTTTGGACCTTGTCTATCCGGTCTGGGGGGTTTTTGACGGCCGGTAAGGGTGGGTTCGTCAGAGTCCTTCCTCCAATGATGGGAGTCTGGCCTTCTTGGCTTTTCTGGTTAGCCGTTGTGCTACGAGTATTCTTCGGAGGCATGGTTGCTGTTCTTTTACCGGATTTGATTTATGGGCTTAAGAGCCGTCCTTCTAGCGCCAATTGTTGACGGTGATTTTTTGACAACTCGTGATTAACTCTCCGAAGGCACTCGCGGTAATCTCTCTCGCCTTGATTAAGGATTAAAGTTCAAAAATAATGTAAAGGGGTCGGAAATTTATAGTGGTTCGACAAGATTTCTTAGCTTAGTCCACTTGTTGATGCACTAATCTTTCAGGAATTACAAGCTCTTTTTTGAGTAATGAAATAGTGCGTGACCCCTTTAATGGGGTTTTTTGGCTCTATTTATAGGCCTTTACATATGAGAGATCTCCTCTGCATTTCCCGAGGAGATCATCTTCCATCCCTGAATTTTGGGATTGTGCAGGTGTATTTTCATGATGGCAATCTCAGGAAATCAGGCTAACCTCTCTTACCAGCTACCTAATTTCCTGACTTCGACAGTAGCAATTGGCACAGTGTATCCTTCCCTGAGTTGACAGGAATGTTGCTGGATTTGACTGGACTGCTGCATCGATGTCGGGTCCACCACAAGTCGAGCGAAGTGCTCGACGCCAGCTATCCTACACGGGCTCTCGACATCGAAAGGGCACATTAGCTACTAAACCTCCACTATCTCAAAGAGTCAAAATGTCATATTAGAACTTGTTAAAGAATAGTTTAGGTTTTTTTTTTTTTTAATGTCTCTGTCTTAGATGCTAAAATAATGGAGTGCCACAAAACTTACATGTATAATTGAACAACCAAATTGTTTATACTTCATTTGTTTCTTTCTCCCACCACACTCAATTATGTTATCTCAACAACCAAACCATTTCATACGCATTTTGCCTCTTGGTTGGCTGTTGTCGTCTCTCAAATAGTATAGTAATTGATGGAAACAAAAGATGAATAATTGAAAAGACAAGGACGAGAAGCAACGTCAATCTAAAACAAATAACAATAAACAAAAACTTTGGATTTATTATCATTATCAGTGTAATAAGACTTGGCTATGGAGGCTTTGTCCTGGCTTTGCATATTATGCTGCTGATTATGGTGCATACGAATTTATGTCAGAATTATGCAAAGTTCCTACCACAGCCCCTCCTTCCTTCATGCATATCCTTTAAATCGTCGCTCGCCACCTCTTCTCAAGCATTTGGAAACCCTCGGAAGTGTATTTCAGTAGAGATAAAGTTTTGCCGGTAAGATTGTCCTTCAATATCATGATGGCATGATTGACATTGTTTTTAAATTAACTGTAATACCGACATTTTCATAAACTATCAACACTTGACAAAGAGAAATCAAGTTGAGTATGTGAGTGGAAAGTTTGTCAACTAAAATCAAGATATCAAATTGCCTGAGTCTATTGTTTAGTACCTAGATTCGTTCCCTGATTCGAAAAAAAAAAAAAAAAAAAAAAAAAAAAAAAAAAAAAAAAAAACGTAAATCGAAAATGATTTTAATCTATGAACCAAACGCTCGTTGGTCAAATTTAGTATTTGTTATTAAATTGACCCACAATGTTGGAAGTTAAAAGTTAGAAGACATCATATACCACTTTAGGATACTACTGTATATCTCTTCAGGAGCAGTGTACTGTGCAGCATAAAAATAAAATGAGCATATGGAAGCTCACCGTGTATAACTAAGCAGTAGAAAAATCAAAGCAGCAGCTCTTAAATAAAACAAAATGTTCCTCAATCTGAATTCTGTTTCCAAACAAAGTTAAAGATGCTGGAACATTAAAATACAAACTGAATACCACGACGGAATTAAGAAGATTTCGAACTTCGCTTCCTCATGAGAAGATGCAAGAGACATGTGACTCACAACTTTATCGAAAAATCCCTGCAAATCTCCTCCCAAAGAAACATCTAAAACGTCATCAATATCTTTCCTGCATAAACCAACAACCCTTATCATTTAACTCGTAATATTTGAGCATACACAAACCGGTTTGCTCTCAACAACTTCTCTGCCTTGGAATTCCTCCGACTTCACGTAATATTTGGTAATTCGTGTCAGCAATTTCGATGAGTTAAAGTCGTGTTGTCGCATCTTAAAACCGAATTACCGCTCCTAGGGGCTCTATGTCCCCGACAAAGATACAAAGATGAATGCTTCCAGTTTCCGTTAGTGGTATAAATTATTTAACAAGTCATTGCTAGAGCAATCCCTTTTTTGATTCATAAATTACTAGATTTATCTTATGCCAAAACTATAAATGACGTGACATAGTAGACTTATTTGAAACAGTGTTGATCAAGAATCAAGATATTCTTTTGTACGTAAATGTGCATTACCGGATAAAAAACTCTTATAAACTCAGATAAATTAAGAGATGAAAATCGAGAGCTTAGCACTAGCCAATTATCAGCACTCTAAGCTTAAAAAGAAGCTATCGTATGCTATACTTGAACATATCATGGTGTAAGCAAAAAATCAACACCAAAAATAAATAAAAGGAATGCCATTTTATCAAGCAATTGTAAGCTGTGACTACTCCACAGGTAATTTATGTTTTTCTTCCCATTCTATTTAAGTATTCCATAAGTTGGAATTCGTGTTAGTTAATCGAGGCCGGATGGGTTGGGTGACTTACTTGGTCAGTTGGTGTTCGCCCCATGTGTGGATAGTTAGGGTGCTGCTGTCCTTCTGAATTCCATTGCTCTCCACGGGAGAAGTTTTGACCTTGACTATACCCAGGAGGAGGAGAACTTTGCCCATGGCCAGAACTAGAAGTTGTTCCTTGCCCAACAGAACCAGAGTCGGCTCCCCCTTGCGCATGAAACCCCTGGCCTTGATATCCATCCGCTCCTGGTCCATCGTTCCTGTAGCCTTCCCTAAAACCACCTTGTTGCCTGGGACTAGGAGGTGCAAAGTTCCTCTGATCTGACTGCCCCCATTGCCTCTGTTCTTGAGTCCGTTGATTGTAGTTTCCTTGCTGGTAAGGATTCCCACCGCCGGGAGAGGGAGCATTCGTCGGCATAGTATCTCTTCTTTCTCCCTGTCCAGGGAAACCATAATTCTCTTGGGATGGATAGTTTTGTGTGGGTCCATGGTTCCTTCCAGTGGCACCTCCTCCTCCTTGCATAGGACCCTGCTGATGACCGTACATGGGATTGCCCTGCTGCTGATTCGGTATCCGTCCTCCTTGCATAGGCCCCTGGTGACCATACGAGGGATTCCCTTGCTCATTTGGCATCGGCCCTCCTTGATAACCATATGGAGGATTTCTCTGCTGCTGATATGGTGGTGCCGGTTCTCCTCCTTGTCGATTATATCTTGGTTGGTCCATGGGCCTGCTGTTGCGATCACGATATCTTCCCGTCTGCCTCCCATACTGAATTGGGGGCGGTCTTGGTATGATTGTTCCGTTAATGTATTTATCCCCTGATAGATAATTGCAAGTATTAAGTCTTTGAGTCAAAAACAGACTTAGAACATGAAATTGATAATAGAATCCGTCAATAGCAACTGAGCATTAGTAAAAAAGTAATGACTATAAATAAGCAGAAGATATGTATTATGTCATAGGTTGAAATACCTCCATACTCCTTGTTTTGGGGATCGATATAAGAATCCGGGAGTACAAAAATAACTCCAGGTAGACCTGTTCAAGAAAAGCAAAGCAAAGCAAAATATTTATTATCCTATGATCCTATCAGCATAACTAATATATATATATATATATATATATATATATGTAATGCCAGCAAAAAGCATAGAAGTAAAAAAGTACCGTGGAATTTCTCAGACTCTTCTTCGGTCATAACAGCTTGGAAGCCAATGTAAGTGGTTGTGCTACAAGCATACATTTTCTGTTTTGCCTCTTCCACACTAAAAAGAAAAATAATAATTACTAATCATACTTTTGTAGGATGAAATACTTAATAATCCAGGCAAAGAATAAAAATAAAAATAAAAAAGAAAGCAATAATATTTGTTTTGAGAGTGGACCTGATGTTCAAGCCCCTGGCACAGGTCTCCTCGTAGGTCCGGACCATCTCCTCGGGAGAGGGCTTGGGGTCCTTGGGGAAATCCATGACGATAAGCCAGTGGTTGTAATCGCAGCCCTCGAACAGAATTGTGTCCGGCCCAATCTCCTCTCCCTCACCGCCTCCGTACGCCGCTCCTCGGAATGATGATGAGAACAGGGAAGGAGAGGACGATCGGAAGGCGCGCGAGTGGAGGAGCAGTGACCATTTCTTCTCGTGCGACGGCGACTGCGCGTGGAAGAATTGAGGAGGGATTGCCGATGACCCTGAAGAAATTGAATTTGTGGGATTGGCCGCGAGAAAGCGGTAGAGCTTGGAGACGGTGCGGCTCAGAGTGCGGCGAGTGCTCAGCGCCATGGCAGGCTGGCTGCAGTTGGAATTTGGGATTTGGCAGCAACCAAATTTAGGGTTTTGCTGAGATTTTAGGGTACCCGCTACCAGTGAGGACGAAAAAGGCACCGTCAAATATTTTGCTGCTTATTTAATAATACTAGTTTAGCTTACTGTGCGAGTATTGAGTTCTAATAAAAATTTGGTGGCATTTGTTTTATGGGTTTAAATTTATAATTTTTTTTATAATAATTTTAAATTTTTAAAGAAAAAATTAAAAATTATTTATTTAAACTTATAAATTATAGAGATGATTAAATTGATGAACAATAGTTATATGTCCACTCTTTCATATATTTAGGATTTAAGATTTCGGAATAGAATTTAGGATGGGATTTGAAATTTAATGAGATACCGAAAACGAAATAAAAAAATTGAGTTAAAAAGGGGAAAGAAGCACAAAAAAAAAAACCAAAAACAAAGGAAAACAAAACAAAGTAAAAAAAAAAAAAAAAAAAAAAAAAAAAAAAAAAAAAAAAAAAAAAAAAAAAAAAAAAACAGAGAGAGAGAGAGAGAGAACAAGCACCAGTGCGTTTTAGACTACTAAAGTTGAATAGTAGTTAATTAAGGAAATTTATGTTAACAAGTATTGTTGTGATTATAAGAGCTTGATCAATACATGTCCATCGCGTCTCTCTGCTAGCTTGTATATTTTTTTAATACGATACGATGTATTTTTTACATATTAATAACTTATGTTGTTTTTTCAATTGGTTATAAATCGGATGTAATTAATTCATGAGTGATTTATCAGTTGAATTAATTGTTTAAATTAATTCAAGATAAATTGGTTAAATTAATAAAGTGTTGAAATTAATTCAAGAATTATTTATCGGTTGAATTAATTGTGTAAATTAATTTAAGAAAATTATTTGAATTAATATTTTTTTTTTATTTGATATGAGCATATAAATATATAATTCTTTTAATCATGTAATTTCTACATTGGATTATTTGAATTAAAAATTGAATTATATATACAACTCTCGGGTTCGAATAAAGAAATAAAATTGGGCTGGAATACTGGGCCCAGTTAACCGGTGGGCTACGTCAGGTTAACCGGACAGTGTTACGCTGTATTGACAGGTTACGTCATCCGGTTAGCTGGATGAAACTCCGATTTTAGGCTGACACGCAATGACTTCAAACCTAAAATCTCCGAAAGTGTTTGACTTAACCAAGTACTCCGAAGACTCACCTTTTCGGGGTTCTCATTGTGTGTCAGACCTTTATCGGAGATTGTTTGTACGAGAATGACCAAGCAACTATGGTACTTACTCTGACAATATATTGCTCTGATACCAGGTTGCTCCGAATATGCACGAGTGCTCCGAATAGACGACCTGATACGAAGAAGAGCTGGGAAAGCATGCCTAACACGGGGAGTGCTCTGAGAAGCATGTCTAATTGGGAGAAAAGCCTCTGAATGAGTCAAAACTAATGGATTTCTCAGGCCTTTGAGATGGATAAAATTTCTAAAGGACTGGGCTTGATTTTTGAGCCTTTCAATGGCTGAAATAAAGGATTTTAGGCTTCCATATACAAGGGGAATGTTTTTTTGGGTTGAATCCTTCATTACCGATTCATACTTAATTTGACTAAGTCTGAAAAATCCTTAAAGCAAGTTTCAAATTGGGTCAAATTAAGGATAAATGGGTCTATGTGATCACTTATGGCCCACCAAACCACAATCTATGAGAGTTCTCCAAGCGTGAATTGAGTCTACGAAGCAAGCTCAATTATATCGCGGGGTGCAAAGCATTGGGCTTGAACCCATAAGGGCCTGATATGAAATCAGGTATCAACACTAATATCAGGTTGCAGTTCATAAGTAAGTATGTGTACATCATTCAGGAACAAAGTAAGGTGAGGCCTAGGGGAACGATTGAGGGGCAGCTGCCATCACTGGGCCCATAAGCTCTTTTATATTTTACCTCTCATTCAAAAGCTTTTACATATTTTCCTTAATATGTTTTTCCTGAAACTGTTTTAATTACAAGATTTACATGGTATTTTAAAAAAAAAAAAAACATTTAAACTATACCTTAACTTTTTTATTTTTTCAGTACTCTCATTTCAAATTTAAAATCTCTAGTCAATCAAAAATAAACTATACTATAATATAAATTCACAAATTTTCAACTCTAAACATTAAAAAATTAATATTAAACACCATTACAAGTTTAGTTTATTTAAAAAAGTAAATATACAAATAGTTTGTACTTCGCCCTCTGGAAAGAAGGCCTGCATACCTTGGAGAAGCAAAGTAGAGGTTAAATGCGTTAAAACTCCCCATATATATGAATAACGTACGTTGTTATGAAAATATTAAATAGCTTTGTTCCGTTGAGTAAAAGCGTTCGTCATGTAGACTTTCTCTGCTCTAAACATGAATTAAAACTGTATGAGAGAGGAGAGAGAGAGTTGGTGGGAAAAGGGAGAATTAACAGAGAAGAAGAAATTTTGGGAGGAGCTTGGAGAGGAGGGACAAAAGGCATGTAATTAAGGAATGGAAAAAGATGTAACTCTGATGATCTACTGCTTCCGTAAAGGCAAAGGCTTCTTCATTTGTTGGAAAGCGTGCGTGCCACACCAAACTCCAACCAGAGAGAGAGAGAGAGAGAGGGAAGATGTATGTGTATGAATATGAAGAATGGTCAAGTTTGATTTGAGGAGGAGGATCAGTCAAGTCATAAGTCATAATTAAGTAGTCATGACATTACTATGTACTACAACGACTGTGTGTGTGTGAGTCAAAATCATCAAAGATTCTTAAATTTTTTTTCCTCTATTTAGAAATAGTGCATGTTTTGAGAGTTACATCAAATTTAAGTCCTAAACTAAAAAATTGAGAAGAGAACAAAAATAAGATTACCAAACGTATTTCTAAACATAAAATTTGGTTTAAAAAACTATTTAAAACGGGACAATAAGATACTAATATTTAATCTCTTTATTGAACAAAAAGACTTATTAACTTTGAGCGTATAATATTCTTTTAATCGTCTAAAGACTAACTTCCGATGGTTAGAGATTAAATTGTTTAGCTTAGAGACTTTAAGTTTGATACTGTACAAAATTCATGAATATTTAGTACTGTTTACATCTCACGTCCAAAATTCATGTCTAATGCTGCAATAGGATATATTATATGGATGAATTGAATACTGAATAGTATTAGGGTGTCATAATTCTTGTGTTGGCACTGTCCAATTAATGCAAAAGGATGGCCTTTGATGTTAGTAGCAAGTACCAATAAAACATATATATACACATACAAAATATATGAATTAGTAAAATAAATAGCAAATATTTAAATGGAATGGGGATCCCAACGTCCCACTGCTCAGAGGGACAACTTGAAATAAATGCAATTCCTTATTCCTATAATTATTTATTTATTGTCAATCTTTTTTTTTTAATTTTTTTTTTTCAAGTCTGTAGCCTCTGGAAGGCGTGCTTCTGTCGGGATATCCCACTACCTTTTAAGATTCATCTTCTTTTCTTTTTATTTTTTTGTTTAAATTTTTGTCAATTCTTTCGCTGATTCCTAAATGCTTGCTAATTAAATCTATTATTTTAGAGCTAATCAGCTTCAGAAGCAACAGTAACGGTCTCCAAGTTGACTTGTTAATTAGTCTTTTCAACACTTTCGGTCAAATTCCAGCTCACAAAAATAATTTCGTTAGTTTCGTTGTTGATCCCTTATCTGAGAATTCATTTAAAAGGAAAAAAAAAAAAAAAAAAAAAACACTCCTTCGAATCACTTTTTTTAAACTAAAAAAAAATTAACGAAAATTAAGAAGAAAACTAATTAATAGAGAAATTACAGAACTTCTGCAGTAGTTCATAGACAGAGAGCACGCGTGGACCAAATATATATTTTGAGAGCAGTTGTTCTCAATGATCTCAAATTAAGTCGTACGCTGATATTTTCTTCGATATATGTTCTTTTCTTCTTAATTGCTTTCTGTAATTCCTAACTAATATAATTCCCTTCCATTAAGCAGTACTTAATTAATATGATAAAAAAAGTGATTGCACATCGTGACATGTTGTGTTTGCTAAGCACATATACATGTGTATAATAAATTGCTGTACTTATATGTAGTACGTATTTGGTAACAATCACATCGCCATACATGAAAATGAAAGGCCGCTAGATTAGATATATATATACACACACACATATATACATATACATATGTATGTATATTTAATGTGCTAATAGTAAATTTAACATTAATTGATTGTTATTAGTTTATATATTTACTTTTTTTATTAATTATTGCAACATTTTATATTTTTAAATTATTTTTAAGAATTTACTTTTACAATTTTCAATTACAACTCCGAAAACTTATACATCGTCATTCCAAACCATAAATTAATTAGTTAATATTTATTTATATATAAAATCCTCCAATAACATCTAGTTAGTCATATATTACGTATACGGTATATTATAATTCTGTAGACGTCGGATAAAAAATATAAACTTATGCAGCACAATATTGTATTTTCATAATTAGTTCTGGTAATCATCTTTGTAAAGCTAGTCATGCACGTACGCGTTGAAATCTCAATCCCATAATAGTATCGTTTCATTAACAGATGCACATTTATATATCAAATATAATTATATATGATGGATAGACACATAATATATATAATATACATAGTCATGCATAAATCAATACGTATTGTACGCGCATATATATAATATGCCGTGTATGTGCGTGAGCAGTACTATTAGCACCCTCCCAAGTCCCATGGCTGGCTATAGCTGAATATGGATGCCATGGATATATGGTTGATAAATATGAGAGAGAAAGAGAAAGAGAAAGAGGAGAGAGAAGAATACAATATCACTGGCAAATGCAATTAAAGGCAAAACCATCATTGCGCAAGTACGTCATCATTGCCTATTGAATTCGCCATTCAAATCCAAATCCCCAAAAAGTCTTTTTGCTTTTTCTTTTTTCATTAATTTTCACTATTTGCTCTCTCAGATGATTTGACTACGTTTTCTTTTCATTTTGAACCCAAATAACGACAAGTAACGAATATGAGTTTTTTTTTCCCCTTTTTCTTTTCATCTTTTAACTTCTCCATTCCCTCGCATTGCATTGAATATGTATATATATTAAGCAGCTAGTAATTGATTATACATATTAATTATTAATTAGCTAGTGTCTCAATTAATATGTTATGCGTGTGGTCTAATTTCTCTCTCTTCCATCTTTTCTGTGTATATATGTATATATAGGATAGGATCTCTCTCTCTATATATATACATATATATATATATATATGCGCGAGTTTGTGTTTGCATTGTATAGATAGGATAGGATAGGATCTCTCTATATGTATGTATGTATGTATTGTGTGTTTGCATTGGATTTTGAGTTACTTATATCCTATAATATTGTAGAGGGATGTAGAATAGTAATGAGAGAGAGAGAGAGAGAGAGAGAGAGAGAGTATTAAATGCATGGGCTTGACATTTCCTCTGCAAACGGCCTTTCATGCTTTTCATTCTGCCAAACAGACGACACCAGTCATGAAGAGATATTGACTTTAAATTTCCCAAAATCTCATTTATTCCCACCACCCACCAAAGTAGCTAACCCATTCACTTATTAATTAATTTCCATAGCATATTCTCTCTCTCTCTTTTTTTATAATTTTATTTTAGTTTATGAATATAATATAATAATAATATTTTATTTCTGTCTCATTCCATTGTCTTCTGCTTTTGTTTCAGAAATATGCCTTATACCTGCGGCCCTTAACTATTTTACCTAGCTCTCTCCTATGTGCACCACATATTAATGATCATGTCTCAAACATGCATGCATGTATATATGTATCATGTTTATATATACATATATATGTATGTATAATTAGCTAATTCATTACTTATTCTTTTTGCTTGATCTGTCCAAACAATGAGATGACGAACACCTTCAGAAATACTACTGTACACAAATCAAACAACCATGAGAAAAGGAAAAAAAAAAACAAAACAAAACACAAAGAGGGTAAACATATTGCATATATTAAATTTCAAGTAGTTGAAATACTTAAATTCTCATTTAACAGGAGTCTACTACACACACATACGTGTACTTACGTATGTAGGTATGTATGTATGTATGTATCAATGTATGTATGCATGCATGCATGCATGTATTATTGTGAATATATATAGTTTTGTTCTCCTAGCCAGGTAATTTTGAGTCCGTTAGTGTTTTACCTTCGAATTTGCAAATTGTTGTTTGACAATGCATCGCTTTTTATATGGTTGGAGAGAAAATATCATGCAAATTGATATAATATGCCAGCCAGGAGCATAGGAAGAGTATTAACTTCAACTGAAAATTTGTTGTTTTCGTAGAAAAGCAATGGTTAAGTGATGTATATTATATAATAGAGAGACAACCATGTGACAAAAATGTACTCGCATTTTTGGTTGGACATGGCACCATCGCAAATGCATGCCTTGAATTCTCACCAAATTAGGGATTTGGAACAAACCATTAATAGGAACGTACAATACAAGAGATACATACATACACACACACGCGCGCGCATATATATACATCTTAAATTCCATGAATTGTCACCAAAGCATTTGGTACATAGTATTAAGACCAAAAAAACCGAAAAAGGCTTCCTAGGGAATATTTCTACGACATCCGGGTTTTGTTTATTGATTAGTACCCGTTCTTACAAATCCGAAATTCATGAACCAATTAAGTACTAATAAATGATCTCATATGAAAATTATGCACATTGAATTATGGAAATTTGGTGAATACAATTTTAGCTTTAATATCCCAATTATGCTTGGACGTTACTACGTACATAATTGTTATGCGATAATGATCTAAAAAGTATCCGTGTTATATTAATTAATAAAATTATATGGACACATTTTCTCACATGATTGTCTACAATTGTAAAGAAGAAAAATATATATATATATATATAATATATAACAGATTGGATGCTTCAACTATTTGCAAATAGAAAAGTGCAGAAAAATAAGGCCGGGTTGTCTGGATGTAAAAACTGTGTTTTGTTGTGCATCGTAAAGAAAAAAAAAACAAAAGAAAAGAAAAGAAAAGAAAAGAAAAGTTTGAAATAAGCGGTGTACAAAACAAATGCAGACCCACAGTGTTCCTAAGGATCAGGGATAACCCCAATTAACTGACCCCTCTCAACTGTGAGACTGCAAATTCAATATCAACTACGTACACTTTTGGCAACTTTCCCTTTCTTATTCTTCTTCTTTTTCCTTTTTCCTTTTCCTCATCCTTTTTAGTTCCATGATCAACAATTTAAATAGCTAGCTAGAGATAGTTAAATATTGGTTTAGAAACTTAAAAAAAAAATTAAAAAAAAAACCCGACATATATTAATATATGTATGGGGAATATTAATGTGGATATAACAAAATTGTCAATGAAACTCATCATCACGTATTAGATCATCATAAGACAGAACCTAAGATTAAATACCAATATTTCTCTCGATCGCTCTTCGCACACACACATACACCACATGACTACTCTCTCTTTCTCGCCAGCAGAGCTTCTGTCTCTCTCTGTTAATATTTCTGAATCAGAGAGTCGCTTTCCCCTGCAGATCAAACAGTGAATGTGCCTGAAACCCCTGCAATGCAGTGCAGAAACACATATTATATACATACATACATATATATATACTTATATATATATATATATATATTAGGCACAAAAGGTCAACAAAGATATATTGCCATTGGGTTGATCATGATTCTTATACAGCAGTGACACAACAAAATTAAACCACTAATTATATGTTATTATTAACTAGATAAAAAAAAAAAATATATATATATATATATAGCTCTAGGATATACTAATTACTATCGCACATGATTGTAAATATATAGTAAGACAGTATTACATATGTCGAAACTTGTTCAAAATGCAATCGTGTGAATTCCTAAGGCTGCATGCATGCAATAGGCAATAGTGCGAGTGTGTGGTTATAAAAATATATAAAAGAAAATACCACAAATAACTCCTAGTTTCTCATAGCCTATACATGGTTATCACTCAACAGCGCATGCATATGTAAATTATATCTCATGACTGTATCATATATAAATCGTCTTTCTTATCATGGTTATTTTCTTATTTAGCTGAAAGTTCCCGTTACATTATATGCAGTGGTACGGCAGAAATGATCAAAGTTTTTCACACCCCGGTTAATTTTCTGAAAGAAAACCCTAACTCGAGCAATCAGACAATCAGATTGAGCTAGTTTAAAATCCCTTACTAACTATAATATATACTACTATATATGCTTAATTAATTCATATATATATATATATACCTATATTTATGGTGTGATGAAAAGAAATTAGGCCCTAAGAAGGATCAATGGTAGTCCGGCGGTCGTCCCCAGCAGCCGCCCTCGATTGCTGAAACTGACTGAGCTGCCCAATGCTTGCTGCCGCAGAGAAAAGCCCGCTGGCCGCGTCGTAGTTTGCGGTGGCGGCATCAAAAGTACTCCTAATCATTTGCTGTGCCGCCGCCGCTGCTGCAGCCTGATCCCGCGGGAAGAATTGGTAGTGGGCCCCACCGTGGTGGTGGTGGTAGTGGCCGTGGTGGTCCCGAGCAGCGGAAGCTCCTCCGCCGCCGCCACCGATGAGATTGATGCCAACATTCTGATGGTGGTGGTGAGCAGTAACAAGGCCAAGGCTTTGGTACTTGGAGAGTTCGGACTTGGCGCAGGTGAGGTCCATCTGGAGCTGGCGAAGTTGGTGCTGGAGGAGTGAGATGACGCCGACGCAGCCGTAGACAGGATCTCGGAGGCGCATGTCGGCCTCGTAGGCAAGGGAATTCACGGCGTCCTCACGCTGATGGGGGTGCAGCTCGTTCAGCAACTTCGTCACGTTGCTGGCTCCGAACACTTTGTGCACGTTCGCAAACTTCTGCGGCTGATCCGGCGGAAAGTATGGCGCGAACACGCACTCCGGCTGACACTTCCGCCGCAGAAACTTGCACGCCGCGCACGGTGAATTTGACGACGATGATGCCATCATTAAATTGATCTTTCTAGTACTCTTTATGTTTATCTTGTTGTTGCTAGCTTCACTCACTCCTTTTTCTGCGCATTAATATTCAAATGTAGATACAAGTTAATGAAGGTAAAAAAAAATTTTTTAAAAGATATACAACAATATTATCAGTATCTTTATATAGAGAAAAAGCGTTTGATGTGATAGCACCATGAAAATTAAAACTACAGTTTATAGCAAAACTACAACCCCCACAAGGAAAAAATAAATAAATAAAAAAGAAGTTGTTCGAAAATGAAATATTCCAGACAACACATCCACACACAATCGAATATTTGTATTTTTAGTAATTAAGATCTTCTACGAATGCGATGGATATCGTTAAAACTGGAAAGTCCCCACACACACACACACACACACAAATATATCATAGTGTATTCTCCTTTAATTAGTTTATGGAAGAGCAAAATTTGAAAATTTTTTGTATATATACATCTGTCCCTCTATATATAGCTCCAAAATTTTGCTAGATCGCCATCCGGAAAAAATATTGTAGGGGAGAGAGAGAGAGAGAGAGAGAGAGAGAGAGAGAGAGATTTGAGTGTACCTGAAAATAATATTGCAGGTTAGGTAGGGTTTAGAGAGGGACAAAGCATAAAAGCTAATAATACGGAAGCAGAAGAAGAGAAAGAAGAAGAAGAAGACGAAGAAGAAGAAGAGAATTTTAGGAGAAAGAAACGCAGAGAAAATGAAAGGTGTAGATTTTCAGCATGAGGGGTTGATTGGATCTCGTGAAAGAAGAAGAAAAAGAAGAAGAAGATGAAGAAAGCTGGGATATTATGATACTCTTTCCAATGGAAGCTGGGAAAGCAGATCTTTCATCTATTTCTTAATTACCACCTAACAAACACACACAAATGTATTATAATATTCTTAACTTTCTGTAAATAATGATATAATGAGACTTTTGAGAAGTAAAGGGGAGGTTTTGATATTTGAAGACTTCTTCCTCGGGATTTACTTACAATTGTCAATTACCACCACATCATGTGTCCTTAAAATAATAATAATAATAATAATGATGGTGATGATGATAATAATAGTAACAGTGCATGTATCTATCTATTTAAAACAGAAGAAGAAGAAGAAGAAGGAGGAGTAATTGGAAGGAAATGAAGAGAATATGAGAGAGGAGAGTAGTACATTTTTTAGTCTTTGGACTGTAGTGCGTTGATGAGGAAATTAGAGAGCCTTTTCCGCTGCCTAATTCCTTCTTGTTGCTTGCAGCTGCCTTGGGAGACGTTGAATATATATAAATAGTGAATACTTTAGCACTACAATAACACAATCAATATTAATATCTATATATTATTAGGTGTTTTAATTTGCTAGATGTACTTATAACTCTAGCTAAGAATATAATATTCAAGACTAATTAAATTTGATAAATAATATTGGAAGGATTGGAGTGAATTAGGATGTCAAAGAGGAAGGGCAAAACTATACTGTCTTTATTTTAGCGAATTTACTCTTTGTGGGGTAATTGTTGAAGAAATTAGAGAGAGTTGCAGGGGAGGGGGGTGAAAGAAGAAGAAGTGATCTGTCTATGTAATGTTGAAAAATGCCTCCAATTATTATAGAATAAGTAATTTTTTCTTTTATAAAATTAAGGGATCGATAAAAAATAATAGAGAAAAGAGAATCTAGGTATTGCTAGAGATAAGAGCTACGTCGCGCATTCTTTTTCTCTCTAATTGTTCGCCGGAAAAACACAAAGAGAGCTAGGCATTCATCAACATAAAGTATAAATGCATATAAAGATGGTGAATATTGAAACACGCAACCAAAGACAGCCTTAAGCTTAACACACCCACAAAGAAAAATATATATATTATTTATAGAGTATACCAATATTGGATTATTTGGAAGAGAGAGAGAGAGAGAGAAAAGAAAGGGATGTAGTAGTAGGAGCAGTAGTACTTGTAATAGTAAGTGAAACTAGAAAGTAAGTAACAAGTAGAAGGAGACGAGAAATAAGAGAGAGAAAGAATGAGAGAGGAAAAATCGCCCAGAAGCAGAGGCTAAGGAGACGCGGAGAAAGGCAATACAGACGACTACTACTGATGAATATTTGAGAGCTATTTTCTCTTTCCATTAATATAGAAAAAAAATGTATATGTATATATGTACACATCCATATTATTTGATCATATCAGAAATATTTTAGAAACAAACAGAAATATTCATAACAAGTCCCCTAGCAGCTATTTTTTCTCTTTTTTTTTTTTTTGATAATTGCTAGTCTCTCCACTTTGTTTCTTTGTTCTAGTACTGCCTTAAAAAAATAAATTAAAATAAAACTTTTTTACTTTAAATAATATAATATAAGAATAATAATAAGATATTTATTATTTATTATAGGGGCTGTAACACATATCATAACACGGCCCTGCAGAAGTGGCAGAGAGAGGAGGCCCAGACTCTGAGAGGATTTTGGCTTTATGTGATGATGTTGTTGTGCTTCCTTCCCGCTGAAATGACCCTTCCTTCCCTTCTTTCCTCTTCACTTCTCTTTCATTATTATAATTATGTCTATAATATTCTACACCTACCTCTTCTATAGCATCTTTTCCATCTTTGCTAGCTTCCCTCTTTTTAGATCTCTCTCCATGTTACACACAATCAATAGCTAAATAAACATTTAAAGAAAAATTAATGACGATGAATGATCACCTATGATTTTTTTTTGAGAAATAGAATAAATTGTGCATAACGTATTTCAAAATCTGAATTTGTATTTGAATACGCATTGGAAACAGAGATTTGTGTTTGAGCCGGGACTTTATCACCCAAACAACCATCTAAATTGTTTCAAATGGGTTTAAACACCGCCAGTATCTACATCCGTATAAATATATTGGGAGGTTCTGACAAGCCCATGGGTACATAAACCATAATCAACTTACAATAAACATGAGCTAATATTGATCATAAGGAAGTGGGTTATTCCACTTACTAAATTAACCTTTTAAATTAGAATCTTACTCCCTAGTGCTGAAACCCAGTTCTAACACTTGCTAAAAGTATTAATTTCTATATATCGTAGCTTAGAATCTTATAATATTGTGATTATTGACAATGTAGGTTTATCATGCATAGACTCTCCAAAGTTTTATGTCCACCTAGCACCGTGATGATCAGTCTAGCACCGCGATGATATTCATCGACTCATCTCACACAGTACTCCATTAATATTAATAATTATTACGCAAAACAACAATCCACCAACGCCCTTATTAAACTAATTATAACTAAAAAAATAAAAAATGTCGATGGTTGCTTTAAAAGCAATTCAATCATTACGTCGTCTTCTCTGCTTTTGAGAATTCGCATTAATCTCGGTCAAACCCACATATTATTTAACAGCTAGTCTTATATATGTAACCCTATCGATAGATACATTATCCTAATAAACAACAATAATTTATTAAATTAACTAAACTCATCACAACCACCACCCCACACTCAAATCTATTCTAATTAGTATTAATTAATTATTAATTTTGTTGTTTATTAATTATTAATTATTAATTATATATTCAGCACAGGAGCAGGAGCAAGAGCAAAGGTGCCTAGCTTTTCTCCCGTTAGCGTAGGCGTCCTGTCACTGATCATGTGTTTGACCAAATCGCTCTGTATGTATCAATCCAATTACCAGATCAGCTGCACGTGCACTCATCACTTTATAATACATCTTCGATTAAGTTAACTCTTGGATTTATGACATTAATTAATAAATAGATCATGATTTAATTGTACTTTCGCATGTCCAAAAAAATCTGACTATAGTTACATATATATGTGTATGTATCTCATATATAGTTCTTACACAATACATAAAATTAATGCATGCATATTATAGCTATGTATATAGCTAGTCCCGGCTTGGAGTAGTGTGTGTGTGTGTGTATATATATAAGTGTGGCTATTTAGACCTGGCTTTTTCTCGGCTGATGAGGGTCTTACTGATGACCATATTACTATTACTATTATGTTCATTCCCTGCTAATCCAAAGGCTGCTGCAGATTTTTGATTAGGCCTCGAGTTCCAGTAGTTTGGCTTCGTGTCTAATTTGAGTCGATGACCAGCGTTAATGTTGATAATACTACTGGTATTATTGTTAGTAGAAGAAGATATTATTGCAGATTTTCTAGCGTTCATGACCTTCTCAACCATCCTACTCCCAACAACCATACTAGTATTCTTCTCCTGCGCCTGCAGCAACTTGTTTTTATTCACCGTTAATATTGGCTCCGCCTTCCGCCCCCTAGTGACGCTCGGCGAGCACGACTTCTGTCTCGGTCTTGTCGGTGGAGCGACGGCTGCGGCAGCCCGGCCCCGTGTAGCGGAAGAGGACCGCTGCTCCGTTCTTAGATTAGGCGGTGTCTCGTTGGAATATCCCAGAATAATGTTGTGATATTGCCTTTCTTTAGATGCTGAACTAATGCTAGTCTTTGTATAATTAGTTGTAGTAGTACTTGATGATGGTTTGTGAACGACGTCGTTCTTTGATGTTGCTGTAGGTTTTGATTTTTTGTTGTGAGCAGCTGGCTTTTGAACGTCAATATTTCCGATAATATTATTTTTGCTGGGCCTGGATGACACCTCGGAGTTATTATTCCCTCCTGCAAACTGGATATATTTTTTTTTTTTTTCTTCAATACATTCATCAATAAGCTAGACTCGGAACACTGAATTCAATGTACTTAATAATTTATAATCGTGTTATTAATGCAATTACGAGGTCAATCAGATGCGTTTTTTTTTTAAATTTAAAATCCAATTCTTGTTGAACTATTCATGGGTTCAGATGCATATATAATGTAATATAAAAATGTAATAAATAAATGAATTCAATAATTTAATTCATAATGGAAAATGATGATCCTTAATTATAAGTTAATACTTTAATACGATATTCTGCATTGCATATAAATTGTGTGAAAACTAATGTAAATCACCACACGAGTGACCAATATTAGCTTGGCCG